AGACTGACTCAAAAAAAAGAAAGAGAAGAAAAAGAAAAAAGATTTTAAAAGTCCCTCATGTCAAAAAGATTGAGGAGACAGTCAAACCAAGAAACAGCAAATTTAATAAAATAATGCTATAAGCAATGAACACTGGAAACAGGAACAACACAGAGTTTTCTTGGGGAACTAGGGAAGGCTCTGACTAAAACAGAGACCTAAAATATGTGTTAAATGAAAAAGGAAATTCTAGGTTTAGGACCATGATGATAGAAAACAGCACGCATGGAGGTTAGAGGGGAGTGGTATGAATGTGGATATGTAAACAGGCAGACGGGGCCAGAATGTGGAAAACTTTAGATAACTATTAATATCAACTTTACATTGAGGATCAGAAACTCAACCTTTTTTCTCCACTACACACATGAAGAATGAGACACATTCATAACGGGCACACCATAAACTACTCCAGAAATGAAGTAATCTGGAGACCACATAAATCCCTGAGTCCCCCTCTACTCCTTCATCCCCTACCTCCAAGAAAGCTGCAACTCCATCCCTTTCTCTCCCATCAAGAAAATTTATCTGGTCAGGTACAGCGGCTCACACCTATAATCCTAACACTTTGGAAGGCTGAGGCGGGAGGACTGCTTGAGCTCAGGAGTTTGAGACCAGCTTGGGCGACATAGTGAGACCTTGTCTCTACAAAAATGTATAAATTAGCCAGGCATAGTGGTGCACACCGGTAGTCCCAGCTTCTTGGGAGGCTGAGAAGGGATCGCTTGAACCTGGGAGGTAGAGGTTGTGGTGAGCTATGACTGTGCTGCTGCACTACAGTGTGGGTGACACAACAAGACCCTGTATCAAAAAAAAATAAGTTTATCTGAATGCTGAATGCAAATGAGATTGATTTTGGAAAACTAACCTTAAATCTATTCTAATATCTAAAATTAAATTCAAAAAAAGAGTCAATAGCAAAGTGAAATCACAGTGCTAGGCCTTCTTCTTTCTTCTCTCTCCTTCTCTTACTCATTCCTATTGCTTTAAATATCCCTATATGCCAACTCCCCCCAAATGTATATATATCCCTATCCAAGGCCAGTCTTCTGAATTCCAGACTCACTTATTCTCATATGTATGGTCTCTCACTTGCTTTTTCTCTCACTTATACAGACACACACACACATCCTCGAGAGGTGGCATACCAGTTGCTTATACTAGACACCCAGGGGTCATTCCTAACACTTCTCTTTCACCTCCCACCATCAAATCCTGGTACTCCAAACACACACACATTTCCCAAATCTACATACTCCTTGTGCCGCTGTTGCCACCTTAACCCAAGCCAGCACTGGCTCTGAGCAATGAATATCTTCCCTCTTTTTTTTTTTTTTTTGGAGACAAAGTCTCACTCTGTCACCCAGACTGGAGTGTGGCGCAATCTTGGCTCACTGCAACCTCTGCCTCCTGGGTTCAAGTGATTCTCCCACTTCAGCCTCCAGAGTGGCTGGGATTACAGGTGCCAGCCACCACACCCAGTTAACTTTTGTATTTTTAGTACAGACAGGGTTTCGCCATGTTGACCAGGCTAGTCTTGAACTCCTGACCTCAAGTGACCTGCCTGCCTCAGCCTCCCAAAGTACTGGAATTACAGGCCTGAGCCACCGTGCCCAGCCTGAGTATCTTCGCTCTTAAGTCGTGTCCTGTTTCTCTTTTAGTCCTTTCCAATCTGCTCTGCACACTGAAGAAAGAACCATCTTTTTAAAAGAATAAAACAGACATCTGGCCAGGAGTGATGGCTCACACCACCTGTAATCCCAGCACTTTGGGAGGCTAAGGTGGGCAGATCACGAGGTCAAGAGACAGAGACCATCCTGGCTAACATGGTGAAACCCCATCTCTACTAAAAGTACAAAAATTAGCTGGGCATGGTGGCGCGTGCCTGTGCTCCCAGCTACT